CTTGCTCCTAGAGGGAATTCCTCCTGGGCAGAGTGGTAGCAAACGGCCAGGGAAGAGCTCAGAGAAGAGAGGCGTTGCCACTGTCTTTGCTGTATGCATTGTCGGCACAGTGGGCTTGCTTCAGCTGCTGTGCTGACGCTGGCACGTGGAGGCTTGATCCAGCGTATTCCGTGCCTCTACAGTACAACAGAGCTGTTGATGGAGAGAGTAAGTCACGTCCCTGCTATGTGCCTCAGTTTCCCCATCTGTAATAATTATACTAATCTTTCTATGGCCGGGAAGAGCTACACATTATTATTATTATGCACAACATTTCTTTTCACTGTGGGCAGCTGTCACTCCGCCTTTAGCTGATCTCGACAAGGTGTGCCAGGCTGCTGAAAGTCCTGGCTGCTCTATATCGAAGCTCCCAGCGGGTGGCACTCTTTGAAAAGTCGCCTTTAAGGCTGTCCAGGCAGACGCTTGAATTATGGCCAGCTGCCAGCTGAAAAGAGAGGTTATAATTTGCACCCCACTGTTAGCTTCAGACATGCTAAACAAAGGGGTTTGCCTGGTGTTTGTCATTCAGTAATACGTGCAGTAAAAGACTTAAAATCCTTACCGACTGATCAGGGTTTGTTTCATTGGCATGCTTAGGATGCTTTGCTAGAGAGGCCCAGAAGTAATCAAATGTTTTAGTATAACAAACCCCACGGGTAACTAGGCCTTCGTGGTTCTCACTACGTCCCCGCAGCCCCTTGGAGTCTCCCGGAGAGGACAGGGATAGCTCTCCAACGTCTTCTGCTCTAAAGGCACAGGCCACCAAGATGCACCAAGTGTTTTAGGTGGGAGTTAGGCACCTAAATACGTCTGTGGCTCTGGGCCACGGTCCCCTGGTACTTGAGGTAAAGGAGCATTTTGGCAAAATGCTAGCAGAACGGGGACTATGATGGATAGTTAAGCAGTTCTGATTCTGTCCAGCAGGGGGCAGAGGCGAGACACCCAGTCACACTAACCCTCTTATTCTTATAGCCTGGACTATGATTGTTTCCTTGAACCCACTGGACTCCAGATACCCGGCTTTGAGCCTGAGGGAAAGGGGCTCTGTTAACTTGCTTTTCAGCTGGTGTATCACTGTTCTCTGCTGAAGCAGCTAAGTTTATTTATTACATTATTATTATTATTATCTATTTATTTGTGTTCCTAGGTGCTATCCTAGGAACTCCACCCACAGACCAGGGCCCCACTGTGCGAGGTGCTGGACAAATGCAGAACATAAAGGCAGCCTCTGCCGCAAAGAACTTACAGTCTTAGCCCTCTGCTACCAAAAGGCCAGCCCCTCCTTCACACTCAGCAGTACCGTATTCCACAAAGACACCCATTGACTTCAGTTGGACGACTCCTGGTGTCAGGGCAGCATGAATAACGGAGCCACAATTGTGTTTCCCTGCCTATGCACAGGCCTCTGTATTTTGCAGCAGACGGGCCTCAGTTCTGATTCTGTTGCTCTCTTCCCCCATAGGTAGTCCGGGAAGTTGACTCTCCCTCTACCCAGGCGGAACGGAGGGCTATACAGAGGGCTTCGTGGCTATACAGAGGGCTTCGTTCTCCAGCACTATGAACCCAGCACCTTAAAGGACATGATATAAATGCCTACAGAACACATCAGAGAATCCCGCTGGAGATTCTGACTCAGGGCCTGCAGTGACATTTGTTTCGTAGCTGGTCAGAGCTCAGTGTTAGGGTCTGGAACCGGACACAGCAATACAGTAAATTCACCTATTCGATCAACGGACCTTGCTCAGAATGACTGTCCTGGCACAAGGAAGATGGAAAACCACAGAATACTCCACAGGCCCCACGGGAAGAAGCCAGTTGAATGACACTGTTTTGAACACACCTACATTAGTCCAGTTGCCCGCAGGGTGTTAATTACCCCCCACCTTGATGCTAATGATATGCTTGGGAGACGGTAATTTTGAATGTGAGGTTTTCATGACAGTTACAGTGAGAATAATTCAATGACGCTGGAACAAGTATTTTAGCCACACGTATCTAATCTCAAAACACCTGTAGAGGGAGGGACATGAAATATAGGTTGACCATATAATGTGCTCGCAGGGGAAAGACAGAAAGACGCATCCTTCCACAATCAACCCTAGTGCATAGTAAAATAATCCCCTTATTTCTCCAATGCTAAACCACAAATAACTCTTCTTCTCTATACCACTGCCCAAATTCTGCCCACGGACAGCTCTACTGCCTTCTGATTGACGTTGTAATTATTCGTTCTATTACAGCAGTGCCTAAAGTAACCGCCCGAGATCAGAGGCCCACTGGGCTGTAAAAACACCCGGCAAGAGACAGTCCCTGCCCTAAAGCGATTGCAATCGAAATCAACAAAGGATGGGAGAGGAACCAGAAGGCCAGGAATTTACAGAGGATTATTTATTAGGTAATGGCAGAGCTAGGACTTAGTAGCCAGATCTCATATCTCTTAGGCAAGGGTCTGATTCACTAGGCCGCATTGCCTGTTATGGGAAGGGTTGTAAATGGGGGATCACTTTTTTCCCTACATGTTAAGTGGCTGCCCTATATGTGGTGGAATGTATTGATTGTATTTAGTTCTCCATTAGACATTCTCTCTCACCCCCACTCCCGCTCGGCTGTAATATTAATTACTGTCATTATCATTCATTTATTTAGTGCCTTAGGCACTTTCCAGCCATCAAACGGCCTGGCCCTATTCCAAACAGCTTGCACTCAAAGGACCTGATCCTGCACTCTCACGCGGGCAGGTGCATTGGTCGACCTCCAAGGGCCTGATCCTGAAAACACTTACTACCAGGAGCAGCGTTTGCTACTTTGAGTAACCCGTTACAGGAGTGAAGACCTGACCTCACAAACCAGAAGGGAGCAAGTAGGGGACGTAACCCTGAAATTTCAGCTTCTCTTAACAGTGCCTGGGGGGCAGAGGGGCCGTGTCAATTTCAAATGAATATCGTTACCAGGATGGGGGTGGTTCTGTGTTCGTCTTTAACTCTGCCCCTCTCTGCTCCTTCTTCAATGTGTCGGCGTCACATTTTTAAATCTACAATGTTCAGGCGGGTTCAAAATTAGCCCAAATAAGAGATGGTGGAGGTGGTGGAATCTCCTTCCTTAGAGGTTTTTAAGGTCAGGCTCGACAAAGCCCTGGCTGGGATGATTTAGTTGGGGATTGGTCCTGCTTTGAGCAGGGGGTTGGACTAGATGACCTCCTCAGGTCCCTTCCAACCCTGATATTCTATGAGATCTTTTTTATAATACTCCCCACACACACAGAGGAGCATTCTTAACCAGACAGATAGTGTTAACACCTACTCCTCAACGCACATGCGCGCAGAACAATGATCCAAAGGATACTTATCCCCGACGCACACAGACACTTATGCAGAGGAGTATCACTGACAACATTTCCCCTCCACGCTGCGCACACAGCTGCGTGTTCCTAACAGCAAGGCACCTACAGCCACAAGCAGCGTTTTCAAGAACTAATGCTGTCGTATTTTGCGCTCAGAGACGGAAAGCACTACAGCAGTGGGGAGAGTAGTTGTGTTTAACCCGCTCATAAAAAAACTATTCAAGTCACTTTAATATCACAATCGCTTATCAAGAAATATTCTGTAGATTCCAAAGCCAGAAGGGACCCTTGTGATCATCTCGTCTGACCTCCAGTGTCACATAGGCCTAAGGAATATCTTTTACAGCATATTCCTTTATGTTATGTGTGGCTTCTTCCCCTGCTTCTCCACCTAAAGCCCATCACTTTGAGAAGCGGATCCTTGCAAAACAGGTTTGCTCCACAGACATTCAGAGACATTTCTGGGTGACACCTAAAGAAAAATTAAAAGTAGCCTTTCTGTAAAATGCCTTGGCAAGGCGTCCAGGGTGGGGCTGGCGTTGGACATATTCTGCAGTCGCTGTTGCAGCAAATCAGTACAACAGAAGTAAGAGATAAATAAAGCCGCAGAGGAGGGAAGGTGTAGCTGAATTGGTTAGAAATGAATCAGGCCATTGCACATTGAGGGTGTCTCCTTTGGAAGATACACAGGGTATGATTAAGAACCCTATATAAGATCTCTGCTCCACTCCAAAATACTCTACTGCACTTTTCTTGTTCCTGGACCGGGTAAGTCTGGATAACGGGAATCTTGTTATTTTTACAGATGTTGAATGTTATTGGTGGTAGTAAACCAGGACCAATGTAAGCGAGGAATAGGTTCCTGGATGTATCAGTGCTGAGCTGTCTTAAAGGAATGTCTGTATTTGTTTTTTTCCAACCAGTGACTGTGGCAGACCATGAATTAGAAATTACAATACTCTGAGGCTCCCCAGAGCTGGGCTGTATTCTCAGCTCTGTTCTTCCTCCAGTTTAGCCACGTTTACAAAGCTGAACTTTAGACTGTATTTAATCTGTGGTCAGAAGCAAAAAGCTAAATGAGGAAAGGGGGCTATTTATCT